AGGGAAAACTGGGGAAAGCCCTGCCCTGGATCATACAGTTCATGTCCACTGACATTAGAGTGCTTCAGAAATATGCTTGGAATTCGTTAAAAATACAAATACCCAGATCTCTTAAAGCAAAGTCCTAGAAATGTGGAATGTGAGACACACTCACGTTACCCTCTGCTGTCTATATTAGGAGTCTCCTTCTATGGGTCACCACAGAGCTGACCTGTCAGGAAACAGGCAGTGCAGCAGGAGCTGAGGGGTGAGCTGTGGAGCTTCCTCCATGTTTACTGCTGCTCCCGTGGCTCAAATCACCACCCAGGCTTTGGATCCGGCTAGATCACCAGGGGAACTGGATCTTCATAGGAGTTGGAACCTTTCTGGGAATGTGCAGCTCACGGGAATCTCCTTATGAGAATCCTGCCTGATGACCTGAGGTGGAGCTGAGGCATTGATGCTAGCACTGGGGTGTGTAGCAGTATGTATTGCAAACATATGCCAATAAAAAAACCACCCCCAGCTGTACAAAAACTGTCTTCCACAAAACCAGTCCCCGAGGCCAAAAATACTAGGGCCTTCTGGGTTACTGACCCTTCAAAGTATATCAGCAGTTACTGTGTTTCCAAAGAATTAAAACATCCATTCTAAATTAGGCCTGACACCTATCTGCCATGCCAGTCCTCTGCAGAGCTCACCAACCACTAAAGGCAAGACCTACCGTAAACTCTGTTACAAGGTGTGTGTCCTAGAAAACTACTGTACCACATGCCAAGCATCCTTGGTAGTGTGGCTATGATGGATCCAGCAGAGTTCCTGTGTCCTCCAGTTGTCCAAGAGACCAGCTGGACTTTTGTGTAGTAAATGACAGAGCTTTTCTTCCAAGACAGCCATCTATTCAGACCACAGGGACAAAGATTTTCTCAGAAAGCTATGCTTCACCAAAGCAGGTTGAAAATCTAGTCCATAGCAAAAGAGAGGCATCACAGTAATACAGAGATTACTTATCCTAGTTAAGAGATCTGAGTAATTCTAGTTTCTCCATCATCTTCATAGTTGTCTTTTTTTTTTTTTTTTCCTTTTGGTACCAGGGATCGAACACAGGTCCTTGCTCTAAATCCCTGGCCCTCATAGTTGTCAATATTTAAGTCAGTCTGAAACTTGGTTTCCTTATCTATAACATTAGAGGAGTAAATTATACCTGTAAGACTTCTTTGCGTTGTTTTGTTTTGTTTTACGGTGCTGGAGATTGAACCCATAGCCTCTGCAAAGACCTTCTTCTCTCCCCACCTCTTCTTTTTATTTAGAGACAGGGTCTTGCTAAGTCACCAAGTTTCCCAGGTTGGGTTTGAACTTGTGGTCCTCCTGGCTGAACCTCCCAGAATGCTGGGATTACAGGCCTGAAGTATTGTTACGGTTCATACCTAGATGTCTATCCCAAAGCTTCATGTGCTTATAGGTGGGGTTTGGGGAATGACTGGATCATGGGTGTGTGGTTCTGGACGGGTCCACTGATTGGTTGAGCATAGTTCTGGGTGAGGATGAAGGACTTACTGAAGAGGGAAGACCCACCTGGGATGTGGGTGGCACCAACCAGTAGGCCTGTAGCCTGGATTAAATGAAAAGGGAAAGGAGGAAGGTTCCTTGCTTCCTGCCTGCCTTGCCAAGAACTGCTTTCCTCCCCTGGGGGTTTGGGTGCCAGGTGGTATGGCCGCAGTACCCTAAAACTCCTACACGGCTGAGGAAAGCCCTGCCAACAGGAAGCTGCAGGCTGCAGGCGGAGTGCGTGGGAGCAAAGTTATCTGAGGACAGCAATGGAGGGAGAGAGGGTCTCTCAGGCTGATTCCTCCGGACCTGACCGGTTCTGTGGAAAGGAACCAAGGGACTCCTATGGTAGATCAGGAGCAGGGCTTCATCTCTGAGTCCTGCCCCGAGGCAGCAGTTGCGGGGAGAGGGAGGAAAAAAGTACACCCACATGCGTGGCTGTGCATCACGTACACAGTCCACTCACCGTGGTACTAAGCCTTTCATTGTGGCTTTTTAAAGTAAGGCAGTGAGGTTTTACATTTATTAAAGATAGGAAAAGGAACATACTCTACAGAGCGATTAAGGGCCAATTACAAGTAGGAAAAGACGTAAACTGTACAGGGTGGGAGAGCACCCCTGGAAAAATATCTTTCAATAAAGGAAAAAACCTGGAAAAATACTCGGCTTCTTCTTGAAAATGAAGATGATCAGCTTAGAAATAACAAGGACTCTCTCGCTTTTTGAGCAAGTACAATCCGGTATTAACAAAGCACAAGACTAACTTTCTCCTGTTCATCATTTTCCATTCTTGATAGAACTGTGTGTGTACACAGTGGAAAGCGTGGCCCTGAAAAAAAACAGTATCTTAAATCTCTTACAAGCAACTACCACATACTAGTACCTCCTGGCCAAATGGATCTCAGGACAAACAACACTGTCATAAAAATGTTCTGAACCTGGGGCTGACGGTGTAAGTCAGTGGCAGAGCACTAGTCTAGCATGTGAGGGACCTTGGCTTCAACCCTCGGCATCACACAAATAAAGATTTAAATCCTGGGGCTGGGGATTTAGCTCAGTGGTGCCGCCACCTGCCTTGCAAGTGCGAGGTCCTGAGTTCGATCCTGCTACCATAAAAATAATTTCAATCCTCCGGTATATAAATATGAAATGCATGTAGAAGACAATGGGCCATACAGAAAATGTTACTCCCGAAATACGAAGATTAACACATTCTGCACTGCAGTCATTCAGAATCCCTTCTGTCCGTGTCTTTCGAAGAGGGCACACATTCACGTTCCTTAAAAGTCGTTACATTTTGGCTGGCCAGCGTGGCAACGGCCGCCTGCCTCACACATGTTGACCTGCTGAATTCGCTATGGTGTACACTAGGAAAAGCATGCTGGCGTCACAAGCCACAGTGTTTTTAAAAGATACACTTTCGGGCACATAAGAGATAACACCAGGAGAGTGCATGAGGGACACCGGGGCCTCAGAGAGCTGCCACACACCCCAGGGTTCTTGGTCTGGGGAGCGCAGGGCTCTGGTGCCATTTAGGCAGCGGTGAGGACGCCCGCCCTGCATTCCTCCACTGCACACCACGCTGTCACAAAAAACCCGTGCTGGGCTCCCAGGACCAGGAGTTTCTGTACCTTGCAGTCTAGGCTCTGAAGGTGTCGGGAGTAGAGACAGATGCAAATGCTCGCTGCCGCTCTGTGCCCGGTGTGGAGCTGAATGGAGAGCCAGGGAGTCTGGATTTGCGCTGTCTGGGTAGAAAGGGTTTTGTTTCAGGAACAAGTCAGGCGCGTGAGCGTGAGACTGAGTCCGGCTCATCTCCAAGAGCTGGGCTGGCCCGAGTCCGGCACTCGCCCTGCTTTCTGCCGTCCTCACTCAGCTCCTCGGCGGACGCTGTCAGGAACCCTACGCGGCGTCTTCCTGGACCCTGACTGCGTTTCCTTAACACTGGTGACCGCATGCTTCCCCCAGACTGGAGCCTCCTGCCGCTCCGGGGTGATGGGCTAAGGAACAAAGCAGAGGCAATGTGCTGCCCAGCAGCTTCGCTCTTAAAACACAATCAGAAAAGAGAAGGGGCTGCTCTGGATCGGGGCCAGTGAACAGAGACCAGGACGGGCGGGTAGACTGGTGGTACTGTTGTTAAGTCGCTGAATTGAGCAACCCTGGGGCCTCTGACCCCTGGACTTGTGAGGTAACCACATTTCCTTACAACCTGTGGCCCCAAATCATCGGTAAGTGCTCGCACATGCCCGCACCCGTCTCTCCCTGGGGAGACGCTCTGCCTCCCTCGGAGGGCAGCCACGCTCTGAGCCCGACGGGCCCAGTTCCAAATCAGCCTCCGACCGCAGACCTTCCTTTCACCCCTGCCTACATCTCTCGGATTCTCACATGGCCTCTCGCCGTCTACACCTCGGCTGCGGGTCCTCCCGTCTCCCTCGTCACGTCCACCCCTCATCTGTTTTTGGTGCCAACAGAGCGAGAGGCCCGGTCTTCCTTCACCTGGGCTTTCCTTTTGGTTTGTTTTTCCTCCGTGTCTTCTTTCCTCATCTTACTTCTCTAGAAGAAAATGCCAAAGTTAAAAGAAGTTTAAAACTCAGTCTCTGCAGGAAGTGCTTTCAAAGAAAGCCAGAAAGAACAAGGCCTCCCTTGGGGCGCTGCACAGGCACGGGTTTCGGTGAGAGTCGCTGCGCGGCCCTGGACCCAGCGCCAGCCTCACTGATGCAGCCGGGGAGGCCCCGACCGAGCAGAGGGGTGGCGGGCTGAGCACAGGGCAGTGAGCCTGGGGACCGCGCGGTCAGGATGCTCCAAAGACCGGGTGCACGCGGAGACGGAGGCGGCCTGCGGCCGAGGTGTGCCCCGAGCTAAGGGGGACTTCGCGCGGAGCTGCAAGACGACATCTGGG